TTTATCGGTGAATTTCCGGATTTATTCTATGACGGATGCAAAATAATTTGTAAAGTTTGCAATCAAGACTTAATGTGCTGGCACAAAACAGATTGTCGTCGTCATATCAATATCGTGCAACATCAAAACAAAAAAAATTGCATGCTTTTGACAACTCAGTTTATGTTTGATTTATTGTTAATGTTAATAGCCTGTAATATTCCGCTACACATACTGGATAAACAACCATTTCGGGAGTTTTGGAATAAATACAATCCCCAGGTGAACTTACCAAGTCGTACATCGTTACGTAGATATATTCGAGCTGTTCGTGAAGACATTGTAAATAGGATTAAATGTGGATTAAAAAATACACGGCTCTGGTTATGTATTGACGAGACAACAGATTGTAAAAAAAATTCTATTTTAAATATTATAGTACGTGTACTGGACCCTCTTAAACCAACATTTCTACTTTTACTAGCTAGTAAAAGACTAACTGCGTGTACTGGCGAAATAATTACGCGTGTGGTGTTGGAGACATTCGAAAAATTTGAACTTTCAACAAGTCAAGTATTGATGTTTGTGACTGATGGTGCCGCGAAAATGTGCGTGGTAGGCCGTTCTCTTCAAACAGACAATTGTAGGTTTTTACATGTTACGTGTAAAGTGCATGCGTCCTATCTTGTGGCAGAAACGATTCGAAAATGTTTTCCAGAGGTAGATGCATTAATAGCAAATACAAAAAAAAGTATTTCTCAAATCTCCTAAACGGCTTCGAGCATTTCACAGTGTCCTGGTATCCCTGAACTACCAGAGCCGATTCTTACACAACCTTAACGAGGCTGCAGCTATTAGGGAAAGCCAGACAAGCTTTCAAGACGTTTCCCTTGAAACAGATTTAAAAACTATTAATAACAATTATAGAGGACTACACGATGCAATAGAAAAATTGCAAAATAGTTCGTTGTCGTTAATGGAATCGCTGCAAATAGTGGACAATGTAAATACACAGCTACAGGCTATAAATGACGCAAAAAAATAATCGCGTTAGTGAAAAATTCGAGAGTGTATTACAGAAAGATCCTGACTTTAGCAAATTAAGACAAATTTGTGATGGTGCATCTACAACTTCGTTAAGTGAGTTCACAGATTGTTTTACTTATGCCTGTATTACATCCGTAGATGTCGACGGTTATTTTCAAAATACAAACATATTTTTTCACCAAAGCGAACATCGCTGACGGAGACAGCTGTAGCAACATACCTGATGCTATTATACTATAGATCTTCCCCACTTTATGATGACGACAACCAAACTACTTCATAAATCTGCTTAAAAGGGTGAGTTTTGTACAAATTTTTATAAAATGTAACATTATTGTTAAAATTTATTTCCATTTATTGTACTTATTCAAGTATTATGATATGATGTAAACAAATGAGTCATATAACGGCTCTGTCGGCCAGGTGACCTCGGCCAGCTTTAGTGATAAGTCCGGCAACCATCAACGTTTACTAGATTTTCATTTACTTTTGACGGTCAATATACATCAACTACACTAAACTTACCATATCTACTTTCCGGCAGCAGAGGAGACTGGCTGTCACTACTTCTGTACCTCGAACTATGGGCTAGGTCCTTTTTCCTAGGCAATGTACAAAAAATTTCATTAATGTCCGAAACACTACCACTGTCACTAGCAGCTCTCGAGGAACTCTCGTAGAACTTGCCAGTTGAAAAACTATCAAAAAATTTACTGGACCCTGAATTTTCCAATAGTTTATTAGTCGGTGAACTTTCTATTAAATCTGGGAACTGTTTCTCTGTGTCCTCGGCGACTCTGGACAATTCTTTGTTGCATGTAGTGGCGTACGAATGGGTGCTAGTTGAAGGGCCGTACCTTCGCAGTAAAATGTTGGAATGATGTGGAGTTGACGGATTTGTTGATGGATGTGGGTACTGTTTATATGTACCACACGTCGAACTGCAGGTCTTCTTGACATTGTCTCTAGAAAAAAATAAAATAACTAAATAATTCATAACATAGAGATTCAAAAATCAACCTGTCTGACAAAATTCCCAGAAAGCTGAAAACAGAGAGGAAGCTAAGGTTAGATTCCTTATTAGCATAATAAGAGTTTCGACCGATCAGATTGTAGCTTGCACCGCCATTTTGATAAAATGTCACTCGAAATCAGTTTTGCAAATAGAACAGTAGTTTTAGTAGGTAGTAGAAAAAGGTGTAGTGTGTAAATACATTTCTGTAGAAGAAAGGTTTAATACATATTTAAAGAGTTAATCAGGAAGCCAAATTTTATCTGTACATTGTGATCCAAGTTTGACTACCACGTCTAATTTCTCGGAAATTGTAGGGATTATGCACAATAATTTCTTATTTTTGTATTTCAAAAATGATTTACATAATGTGATTAACAAATTTAAATAAAATGTACTCAATCATTTAATTTTAAGCGAGTCGAGCCCTGCACGGACCATTAATTTATCAGTAAATGTATATTTCTTGCCCAAAAAAAATAAAGATGCTTAAATAGTGTAGGGAATTTGAGTAAAATAATAAAATAGTGACGTTAGTTAGTTATCTGTAGAATTTAAAATTTAGTCTATCAATATCTTTGGAAATTTATTGAGGAATAACAATCAAATATTATAACATTATATTATACACTGGTCCATCGACTTTCTAAATGTTCACTAACATTTACCAAAAAATGATACACAGGGTGATGCTATCGGCACTGGGAGCAACATTATAAAAATTGAGTCTGGCCCTGATATTTTTCCAAAGTAAATTATACGCCTGATTGAACTAGAAGATTATAATATTTATACTAAATTTTATCACAACCGTTCCAGAAATATGGCCGACTGTAATTTTAGTCAAAAATAGAAAACGCCCCCGTATTTCAAGAACGGTTTACATTCAAGGGTAAGTTTGGGAGTGTTTTAACTCAGCTAAGCGTGCTCTATCTACCATTACACTATGTCACTTTAAATCTGTAACACCCTGTATACTTGACGGGAAGACTTTAGTACTGATTGGGTGAAAAAGTTTTAGAAATAGTTTTTTATAACTACTACGTTTTGTCATTAACTGTATTTTTAATTGGTCTACGTTACTGATCATTAGAGCTTAAAAAATATATTACCTAGCCTCCTGCAACGTCCGTCTTGGTATGTGTAGGTCTTCTGGATCCAAAAGATGCTCTGGAGAATTCCAACTTTTCTCCAAATTTGTATCATCTTTACCGCACCATTTTTTACTATTAGACCCTACTCCTGCGTTAGCTTCTTCTTCTTCTTCCACTTCCTGATCTGTATCACCACCAGGCACTACCCTATATTCCCCATTTTTTCTGTTAGCAACCACCGCAGTTTCGTCTAGGTTAGCCCCCACTCCACCGTTAGTATTCACCACTTTATGGTTCATTTCAATTTTTTCGTAATTGTCTTCTCTCCTACACTCGCGACTACGCCACCTTATCACTTGTTTCTTTCGTACAGAACACACACATAAAGATATCAAACACGATATTAAAACAAAAGCTATACCAGTGATAACACTAGCTAGTAACACTTTGTTTGTAAAACCACTTTCTGATTGTTTTCTGTACACAGCTAGAGTAACACTTGCTTCAGCCTTACCCGCTTTGTTTTCTGCTGCGCACACATAGGTTCCGGCATCTTGAAGATCGGCACTAAATATAGTCAAATCACTGGATTTATTTGTTAAGTGCACCATATAGAGTTTTCTGCCACTAGAGTATGGTGAGCCAGATAGATTGGCTATCACTTTATTTTTAAGCAACCACTTCACATTTGGTTCTGGAATTCCAGCTATCCGGCAGGTCATAGTCACATTTTTTCCTTCTACGCCTTGAGCTTTACTGTCGTAAGCAAAAATTTCTGGGATACAAGCATACTCGTCTAAGTCTAATTTATCCCAAGATTTTAAATATAATCTTTTTGGGTATTGGCAAATTGGAGGTATCCCGAATGGGACATTTTGCCTTAACATCCATTCACGCAAAGGCCTAAGTGAACACGAGCAATTCCAAGGGTTTCCTGCTAGTTCTAGGCCATGTAGACTTTGTAAAATGGTAAAGGAGGAAGCACTTACATCCGATAATTTGTTTTTATCTAACTTTAGCCATTCCAATGATCTTTCCAGGCCTACAAACGCCCTGGATTCAATGCTAGATATTTTACAGTCAGTTATTTCTAACCTAATAAGTTGTGGTAAATTCATAAATGCGTTACTAAGAATCCTCTGAATAGGATTACCATTGAGTTTGAGCTCTCTCAATTCCGGAATTGAATCAAAAGTATGAGAAGGGATATTACCTAAGGCGTTGTAACTTAGGTCCAATTCCACTAAGTTTATTAAATTTTTAAATGAGTATCTTTCAAGGATTTTCAGTCTGCATTTCGCTATGTATACTTTCTGTAAATTTACCAAACCTGCCTTGCTAAATTCTTCGTGTCTAATTGAGGCCAGATTATTTCCGGTTAAATCTAGAACTTGAGTACCGGCATCTAATTGTAGTGGAACAACTGACAGGTTGGCATTAAGGCAAATTACGGATTCTTTCCCACTCTTCCACTTGCATTCACACAGCCCTGGACAATCTGATAGGGTCATTCGGGTGTAAAAGCTTAGAATTATAATTACATGTAGCTTCACACTGGACATTGTGAGAGTATTATGTTTCTCTGCTTCATCTGGATATCTTGTCTTCGTTGTCTTCTTCCTCCGTCTCCATTGTGTGATCACAGTCGTAGCGACTGACTAGACCAAATCTGAAACAAAAAATTGATAAATTAGGTTTAATAATCATATATTGAATTAGTACATAAAGATATTTGCCATTAGTGTACTGTAAGCGGTAAGAAAATTCTCTCAGTTTTTGATTCCGTTAGTACATTTTGGGTAAAATATACGACCTAGCCAGAGTTGTTGCTTGTAGATTACGAATTCACTTCAAACAAAAAATTATGGGGTTCGGTAGCCGAGTGGGTACAGCTCTTATAGCTTTTTACTCGGTAGCGAATATCGATGGTTCGAATCCATCCCGGAGCATGAAATTTTATTTGTAATTTATTTAGGATTAAGATGGGAGAGAACTGTCGATGTCCTAGATGTGGTTCGGACTCCATAATAAACTGCAGGGCATCGCCTCTCTTTACTCAACCCAAAAGCCTAGGATTTTCTGGGAGTTACTTCGGTGACGTGAGAGGCCGGTAGAAAACATTTTAAGAAAATATTTTAAAATATAACGACACAGTTCCAAATTTTCTAACTTACCACACCACCGATAGAATTAATCTTAAGGTATGTTTCCCCAAAGAATCGTAATATTTTCTCTACAATTTCTAATTTTTAAATACCGAAAGAAATTTACTTCCATACGAGCTTATATGGCAATAAAAAATAAAAGCCCTCATTTTCTCTATTCTACTGCTGCTGAAAATTAATTAATTTTCCGATTATTCACCAATGCTGCCTTACGTGTTTGACGATTGAGTCTATTGTCCAGAGCGAGATTCTGTATTTTCTGGAATTACTCGTTTCCAACTGTTAGGTGAGTCCAAGCCAACAATCCTGACATAGTTCTCCTCGACTATCAAACTTGGTACCTTGAAAGAGGGGGAATCAGACCAAATAGCACGATCTCGATCTTTTGTACGAGCTCCAAATGATATATCCAGGCTTCTCGGCTCAGATAAACGTTCTCAATGTACTCCGTTTGGTGACCAAAAGGATGACAGCTGACGGCCAAAGCCAAACTCTCTGGTTTGCAGAGATTAGCATGCTTGACCATAACGGGGATAATAATTAGCACCCTGTCGCGAGCCTCAATGGAAATACTCCTAGATTTACCCCTATTTGTATGTATTTGGAGAGGCTAGATGGAGAACATGTACTGCAACAAACGGCCATTAATAAACCGCAGGCTAGTTATCTAGTAGCCTGTTCCAATTCATTATACTAATGAATTGGAACAGGCTACTAGATGACATAGAAAGTTACAGCTTCCTGGAAATGCCCTTGGATACTATACCTACTATGACCAACTACGCGCTGACCTTCAACATCTTTTTTCCGGAAAAAGATGAGTGGGATCGGAATAAAGCTGACCTACCAAAGGTTACTAGTTTACAGATAGCTCCAAAACATCAGAGGGAACAGAGTCTGGAGTACACAGTTACAAGCAAAGGGTGAGGATATCCTCATGCCTAGGTGTCAATGCAGGCCGAGGTTCATGCTGATGGTCGCAGTGAAAAACCCACAAAGACCCACTGAAAATAACCTAACCTAACTTAGCTCTGAAGGGTTATAACCTCCTCTGGTCTCGGAACTAAAGACAATACCAAAGACGATCTGAATGGTTGGCAGGCCAAGTAAGGAAGACCGTCATTCTAGGTCTAGTCTCATCGCCTGTTAGGGCCGATGATTCTGGAATCTACAGTCACAGTAATCTTGTGTGATGTAGGAAGTAGATGTAGTTAACTTGTTCACGCTATTTTCATATAAATTATAGCCATGGGAGGACTGTCTGGCTTCGAAAAACAGAATTTTTTTTTAAATGCTTGTATAAAAGATTTGAATACAAGTAGTATTACCATAGAAAAGGAATACACGTCTATCAAATGCGTTCACGGTGTGAAGAAGTAGCTATCGTAGTAACATCCGTGTGTCTGTATAGTTAATTGTTTAATTTATTCCTATTTATGTTTTCAGCCATGCATTTAAGCCTCTCAATGTAAGGCTATGAGTGAACTAATGATGCTCCTTTCTTTGGCTGTAGGTCATTATGACGTTTCTTTGACCAAGTGCCGAAAATAAAAGTATTTCCAAACAAAATTCCCATTCCTTGAATAGGCAGCTTTACCAAATATTGCACCGTACAATTAGTGAATTCCTTTTCAAGAGTATACACAATCAAAATTAATTACATTGTATATTTTTTAAAACTTCCTGCTAAGGCAACGCGCTACTTTTTGTAATCCAACAGTCAACGTTGGCACATGGACATTATATCTGCTTAAAATTAAATACCTTAGTTAATCAAGAAACAATTAGATGAAGTTCCCGTAAATATTTTTATAAACATAATCAATGGTTTCATGTTTTTTTCCTTAATTGTTAACCCAGTGTATTGATTACAATTGAATAAAGTAGAAGGAAATTAAATGCAACATAAAAAAGTTTGCATAAAGAATTACTAGGCCAATTTATTTAATTTAGCAGCTTAAAACGTTGTGACCAAATGGAATACGAACGAAACATTTCAAATAAATTTGTTTATTCTTTTAAGTATGTTTTAGCTTTACTTGTGCAAGAGCTACAACAGCAAGAGTGCTTTTGTCAAGTAGATAGATAATGTTGTACAAATACGATGTGTGTGTATGTGCTATACTCGAGTTTTAAGCGAGTTTGTTTTTTATTTAATTATTATTTTTTGAGTATTCACACAACTGTTATATTCGAAATTTATTTAAAGTACTTCTTAAAATGTTTAAATGTTATTATCAAAATTATGGAATAAATCATAACTTTGATTATATTTTTAAATATGTCCTATGCTGAAAAAGTTTTGGAATCTAAATAATTTCTCGAAACAATATCAATGATTAACTTGTAAGGATACAAACAGCAATAGAAGCGGTGATAAGATCGGCCCAAGCGCCAAATATAAAATTTTACAGAAGGCAATAAAAAGTGTATTACCATTATATTTCTTACAGAAACTGTGTAACAAACTTTTTTTTAATTAAATTTTGAATACTTTTTGATGGTTTGATCGCCCATATCTTTATCAATAGGTTTATATTAGGCTAAATAATCCAATTCCGTCAAAAAGTTAATCTTGACCGTTATCGTATTTAAGCCGTTCTTATTACTGCTTCAGTTGTTACTTTTGTAACATCAATAAAGCATCTCTGTATCGTTCATGAAAAATTATAATCGTTTTCCAGGCGTAAACCTTTTTTATTTCATTAATAACGAATGTCAAATAAAATAAACCCTTCTAAAAATAACTCTGTAACTTATAAATTATAAATATTGTGATATATCCATTACATTTCAGCTACTCTTGATTGACTTAATTTTTTACAGCGGGAACGGCATATTCAAAATTAAAGTGGTCGGATTATATTTACCGCTTTATAATGTTCGGGATATCAATAAAAAATATCTGATGTTGCCAGCACATAACTTTCTTATACCAGTATATAGCATCCTGGTCTAAAGAAATCATTCTATTTAATTTTTCACTTACCTCAATTAAATTTTAAAAACGTACCTTGAAATGTTTCATAAAAATTAATTATCAGCGTCCTTCGATACTGTCAATAATAATTCATGTCATATGTTTTAATAATTTCTTCTTATTGACATTGACATTTTTGTAACCAAATTAGATATTTCAAATTACAAACTGCCGGATTTATTCTAACCCCATTTTATGAGGTCAAATGCGTACAAAATTTCAATTTACATCAGCTTTATATAAGTACTTAGAAAATATGTTTTATTCGCTTGATATAGTAGACATGATTTATAATCTTTCATCAAGAATATATTTTTTTTGTAGTCACATACAAAAAAGTTTGGGTCCAGTGAACTCCCTTTCAGCTGGCCAATTTTGCTCATCGCCGAATTTCTCATTGTCTTTGGCCTTTATAACAAGTTTACCAAATTTGAAAGCTTATCTCAAAAGCTGTGATTGCTATTGCGATAATACAGACACGCAGACAGATTTTTTTTTCCATAAAGTTATGTTTTTTCATTATAATTCGTCGAGATTCGTCCAGAAATGCTATACAATTTTTTAATTCTTTTTCCCGAAATTATACCTTTTTTCTTCTTTCATTCATTATGTCTCTTCTGGTGGTACAACATTTCCCAAATTTAATATGTCACCTAAAATGTTGACAATCTTAACTGCGAAATTTGGGAAGTCTTCCATTAGTACTTTTTGAGTTATCGCGGATACACACACACAACCGCACACACACACCTAAACACACACACGCACCGACAGACATTATTCGGGAAATAGTCAGAATGGATTCAGGAGGGTTCAAAACGTATAAATCAATGAAAATCTCGAGGTCGAAAAACTCACGATTATTATACTTCCTGATATTAGGTATAAGAAAGTAAATAAATATGTTTCCAATTTAGACACAAGTCTATTTTTGATCCAGATGACTCAAAGTTTATTTGTGTCATATCAATATTCTTCCTATTTTCTTATCGTCATAACATCTACTAAGTCTGAGCTTCTGGAAATATAAATTATTTACTTTTTATTCATCAGAAGCACTGGCGGTTCTTCTATAGGGTCCTTTGGTCAATGACCTCCCACATACAAATAAAAAAATAGAGCTATTCATTTTCTGAAGTTTATAAATATATAATATATATATTTTTAATATTCTTAAAAAATATATTAAAGTTTCTAGTTCATTCTATGCACAATACTATTCAAATATCTAGATCGCAGGATTTCATATTCATTACATTATTCATTTATAGAATTTAAAAATCTTGGGTCAGCGAATCGTCAGAAAGCAAAAGAGACAGAAAACACTGGTGGGGACAATGTCCCTGACACATATTACGTAAACGGTAACGCACAAAGTTCAGTCGAGCACTAGCAGTCTTAATGCTGACTAGGTACGCATTGGTCGGTAAAATCTGTGGCGTTGTTTTTAATGTTATTGTTTGTGAACATTTTATTAGTAAATCTCTACTTGTCGTGAAATTAAGTAAAACAGTGTTTTTGGTGTTTACTATTAAATATGAGTGTTGTACAAAATATATTAAAACTGAAAGATGGACATAATAAAGTACAAGTAGTTTTTATGTTTAGATACGTTTTAGACGGTGTTGTATGTGAGAGATTTTGGAAATTTATTCAGCCTCAAGGAACGACATCGCAGCATTTGACAGATGTAATTTTAAAAGAGTTATAATGTCTGAAAATTAATGAAAGTGCTGAAAAATTGATAGCACAAAGTTACGATGGAGCATCTCCCTCGAAGGATCTTCACCTTGCTCGCGGTGAG